ATTATTTCTATTATTTATTATTATTATTTATTTTTTACCTACGTGACTTTACCGAAAAACCTAAGAGTATGAATCCTTGCAGTCACGAAAGCTTCAAATCTAAAATCTGAATCTCTCCCTTGTCCACTGTGAGAACAGACGCCACTTCTCTGTGCAGCAAGCATTGAGAGCCTGATGCGGCCTCTTCCTCCTCCTCCTCATCTCTCCTGACCCTGCGCTGCCGTTTCTTTCCCATCATTTCCCTCTCAATCCCCATTCCTTCTCTTCCCTCTCCCCTTTCTCTCTTCCCATCAATTGCGTCCTCGACTCTACTCCCTTTCCCGCGGTGGGGGGGGGGGGGGGGTACACAGATGTTTGTTAGAACCACGTCCTTATTTTATCATCACATTGCTTTCCTTAACGCAGCACTCTGTTACATACTTTTTTGGTTCTTTCGGTAAAGTCACGTAGGTGATAAATAAAAATAAAAGTAAAAATAAAAAATAAACTTGTGAGTTTATTTATTATTTTTATTTTATTTTTCACCGACGTGACTTCACCGAAAGAACCAAAGAGTATGGATCCTTGCAGTCACGAAAACTCCGTTACATGTTTTTTACATATCTGAATGCATAACTCAGTCGGTGGTGCAGCAAGGGCTTTTGTAAACCTGGCAGCCAGGCCGCGTAACGTAACGCCAGTGCTGAAGATTTGGGGTGGTGAAGGAGTCTCCATAACTTTTATTATAACAAATTGTAAAGGAGAAGACCTACGAGATGATGATACAGATGCAGCGCCGAGGAGGAGTCTCTGTTGGGCCACTTTGCGCTTGGGGTGCCGCCACGAGAGGCAGGTGACCGCTCTCTCGCGTTCACTCCACGAAGGGAGCGCGGCTCCAGCAGCAGCAGCGGGCACAGAGCCAACACCGCCCCCGCCCCCTCTCTATATTTAAGGCCCCGTCACAGAGACGACCTCTCTCTATGCATCTTTATGATGTCTGTCTGCTTATATGTCTGTCTATAGATTTCTGGTTAGATTTTTGTTGCTATTTCTTTTATACCTGATGATGATTGCTTGTGTTGCAATCGAAACGTCGTAGTATGCTATTATTTAATTTATTATTTTATCTTTATACGTGACTACCAAAAGAACCAAAGAATGAATACCACCAAGCCCACGCGCTCAGCGGAGATGGTGCCTCTCTGCATCTGTCTCACGATATCTCTCTCTGTCTTATTGTATTGATCTGTGCTCGTCTCTTTGGGTCTCTATGCCTGTGGCCGTCTGTCTGTGCCTCTGTCTTTGCGTTTCCGTATCTCTCTTGTCCCTGTATCTCTTTGTGAATGTCTGTGTCCGTCTCTCTGTGTATCCATGTGCATCTGTGTCTGTCTCCCTGCATCTCTCTGCGTTTCAATCTTGACTTGAAGCTTTCGTGACTGCAGGAATCCATACTCTTGGTTCTTTCGGTAAAGTCACGTAAGGTATAAAATAAAATGAATTACGACGTTTCTGGTGCAACACAAGCGTCCGTCATCAGGTGGGAAAGCAACCCATTCGGCCGCTTGGCTGGACACAGGCAATGGAGAATTGAAGAAACTGCCGCTCCGGGAGATTGAATCGAATCTAAATATCAAGTGTCACAACGGTGGTGAAGCTCCATTGCCTTTTCTCCGTTATAAAATGTTGCAATGTGATTTGTGTGTGCACAGATCGGAGATGTTCTCATATAGATTACTGTATGATGTATCTATCACCCACTCCCGCTTGCGGGAGCTGCCAAGGCGATTCAATGATTCGCAGATCGCAGGGCCTGGGATTCTGATGTCACCGGTTCGATTCAACCTCCCGAAGGGAGAAGTTGAGACATTGGAGGACAGCTTTCTTAAACGCCACCAGAGCCGCCTCTGTTCACTGAGCAGCAGCGGTAACAAGTGTGGTTACGCCAAGTGTTGATCGATCGGCAGCTTGCTTATGGCCGCTATAAAATGTCCACGTGATGAGCCACTTCTTTGAGCTTTTGTGGCCAGGCCGCATTCTGAAAAATAAGCCAATAGCTCAGTGGGCCTTAACCTGGACAAAATAAAAAATATAAAAATATTTTGTGATTTCCTTACCTTTCCTAAACTTTGCACTCCCACCGTGTTTTTGTATTGTTTGTTGTTGTAACTTTCTGACCCGCCCCTTCTGGGCATCTGTGAATAAGAGACTCGCAGCTCATCGGAGTCCTCCGGCAGTCTGATTATTCAGATGATGAAAACATAGGGCACGCCGACAATTGTGAATCTCAACTCGTGTATCGCTGGCGCCCTCTGCTGCGAGTGCGTGGTGTTGTGTCCGGCCACGCGGTGGTGATGAGCGGTGGTGGAGTGGTTAGTACGCGATGTTACGAACACAGGCCACCAGAGTTCGATTCCCGCTCACAGGCCAAAATCAGTGACAAATATATTAACCGGTCATGGGCCTCCCCGAGGTCGACTCAGCCTTAAAAGAGGACCAGGTGCCATGTGTAAACATCGCCACGAGAAACACGACGACGACCGGGCGTGGTGCTGACCACCCAACCCCTCGTGTTCCGTGCTGGCCTTCATAGGTGCTCGTTAACAGCACTTGCCCCAACAGTCTTATGGCGATACGGGGAAATTTTGCCTTTGATGTCCTGGGACGCGGTAGCGCAGTGGTTAGCGCATTGTGCTGCGAACTACGCGACCTCCAGTTCGATTATCGCTCTCGGCAAATGACAAGTTCTGGATTTCCCCCAGGTCGACTCAGCCTTAAATACACACATGGTGCGGTGTGTATACATCAGAACTAGGGAGACAAAGGCGGCCGAGCGTGGTTCTTGCCACAACACCCCGTCCTGTGCAGTTATAATTATCTGAACAGGTCGTGGGCTTCTCCTTGGTCGTCTCAGCCTAAAATAAATAACTGATGCGGGAGACAAAGGCGGCCGGGCATGGTGCTGGCTACCCACCCCTTCGTGTGCCGTGTCAGCCTTCATAGGTGTTCGCTAATAACACTTGCCCCAAAAGTCTGTTGAGTCAATATGGGAGATTTTTGTTTGGGTGTCCCAGAGGTCAAAGAGACCAATGCGAATGCACGTGCCCAATGTGGCTTTTCAATTGGCTAGATTCCAGCTCTAAGAATCAAACCATGTTGCTTTGACTGTAGGAAAATGGACTGCTCAATTTGTTTTTAAATATAAATATAGCCGAGCACAGGGCCAAATTACCAAGCGGACAGCGGCCAACGACATAATTAAAGTTGCAACAGACGAGTGTTAACTCGCTTCATGAAACGAGTCGCGGGTATTCTAAGGGCCTAGGGCAGGGGTCGGCAACCTACGGCTCCGGAGCCGCATGCGGCTCTTTACGGGCTGCTTCTTGACGATATGTACGTATGTACAGTATGTACTCAGATGCATTGCGGCTCTTGAAATACTGAATTTTGTACCGAATTGGAAAGAAATGGCTCTTCTTGTTATTTTGGTTGCCGACCCCTGGCCTAGGGAAACGAGACGATGGGAGGGAATTCCAAAGTGGAGCGGTTGCACTTTAAGTGGCAGAAGTACCAGAAAAAGCACCACGTGGTTTAAGCAAACGTAAAAAAAAAGTACTTTTTCTTGAAGTAGCAGAAATGTGGATGACCCCAAAAATACTCCTCACTCACGGGTCCCGGGGCGTCATTCAAGAGAGAGAGAGGCGTGGGCCATCGTGGGCCGACATCGTCCAAATCCACCAAATTAAAACGACCACCCTCAAGTTACCACCACTGGAGAGAAACAGACGGCGATTGTCGCCACCTACGGCGCAAACTTGGCAGGGCCCCTTCCTGGGGACGTCTTGAAGAGGCCTGGCAAAGCCTTCCTGGCTCAACAGTCGGTGACCCGCGACCCAACTTTTACGACCTACACGTGTCCGCTCAACATGCGTGCTGCGAATGCCGGCAATGGTGGTAACAGCTCACGCCTCACACAAAGACATTCCTGGGATCGACTCCCGATTGGGGTGCCCCTTCCTGTGCGGAGTTAGTTGTTTTCTCTCCCTGTTCCGCATGGGGTTTCTCCTGATCCTTCGGTTTCCTCCCCAAGCGAACGAAAACACATTCCTGCGGAGGGAGCTGGTAGGAACGTTGGGTTGCTCGGTCAGTGGCCAGGGTCAACGGCGGCGTGGTGTATTCCACAAATATGGCCGACTCTAAGTTAAACGTTGAGTTTTATAAGGGCACCACGGGGTGACCAGCCCCTCCCCACCCCCCACCCAGCCCCCACCCAGCCCCTCCTCACCCTCTCCACCCAGCCCCTCCCCACTCTCCCCTCTCCACCCAGCCCCACCCCTCCCATTTTTTGATGCATGACAGATGGACACAATAATCCCCTGTGGGCTGGTGTCATCAGGAGGTTCTTACCAGTAAAATACAATGTAACTGGTACTGGCCAAACATCCCCAATGCTAATAAATGAAATGCAAAATACTCAATTAGGCTCACACAGCACCAACATCGCCCCCACCCTACTGCGCAAACTTGGCAGGACCCCCCTGAAAAGTAGCGAGGCTTTCCTGGGTAAATCTTGGTAGTAATAATAACCAAATAATGTCATCCAGCACTAATAGACACATATTGGACACAATCATCAGCACTCGCCTGGTCACTAGTGCAACATGTACACATCTGCACATTGAACAGGACATGCGCTCCTGTGAAACAAACAAAAACACTCAACACATTAGTCAATAACACCAAACTTATTAAAAAGCATAAAATCCGTATAAAAAACACGTCATTGGTCACCAGGTGGTTCAGTTCCGAAAACATGAAACATTATTTTGCGGCAAGAATATTTTCATTTCACCGTTAAATGCAGAGGGGACAAACGTATTGAAAATAGGCGACGATTTGTATAAATAACACAAGGCAAGCCCACAAGACGGGCGGCTACGTCCGTGAAAACAACCGCGCGCGACCCCATTCGCCCCAGTGAATAAACGCGTGCGTCATGCTGTCACGGCCTGCAAACCAAATGCTAAATTGTACAAAAGCAGTTTTATTTTTTTTTGAATTTCATTCACAACTGACAAGCATTTACAGGTAGGTGGGACGCTCACTGTAATAGAAGTAAAAATCACAAGTTGAACGTAAAGAACGAGATACGTTCAGCCAGGTGTTGTTTTTTTTTACCCCCAAATACTACCTTTCCCAAAAACAAAATGGGAGAATAACAACTTTACCCTTAAATGATAACTATTAATTATTATTATGTTACAGCTTTACATTTACAAATATAATCCACAAACACAATACTTTGTAAAACATACAAATATACACAAGAAATGTGTGTTTTTTGTGAATAATGCACGCACGCGCACACAGTGTGCGCGTGCAGCGGAGAAGATTTCAATATAGATGATGATGACGATAGAATAAACAACATGTGGTTCGGTAGAGCAAAGCGTTCAGGGCCGAGCATCTTAGGGGCCCACACACCACCTCCCATCTCCCTGCAGGCCTACACTTGCCCTTTGTGTTGTTTTATTATGTGAGCGTTCTTCTCGGAGGGCCGGCGAAAGCCCTTGTTGCAAAAATCGCAACGGTGCGGGTACTCCTTGGTGTGGATGGAGATGATATGCCGCTTGAAACCCGACGCGTCCGTCGTGTTGTAGTCGCAGTACTCGCACTGGTACACCTTCTTCGCCTGGTGCTGACGCATGTGCTTCTTCAGCTCCTTGTGCTGACGGAACGAGTTCTTGCAGCGCTTGCACTTGTAGGCCATGTCTTTGGTGTGCACGGACAGGATGTGCCGGGCGATGCTGAACGGGTCCGCGCTGCGGTAGTCGCAGTGGCGGCAGTGGTGCTGCTTCTTCCCCGTGTGCGCCACCATGTGGCGCTTGAGGTCAGAGGGCCGGTAGAAGCCCTTGCCGCACACGTCGCACTTGTGCGGGAAGTCCTCCGTGTGCACCGACACGACGTGGCGCTCCAGCTCGCCCGCCGTGGCGCTCAGGTGGCTGCAGTGCTGGCACTGGAAAACGCGGTCCGCGCCCAGGTGCACCGCGGCGTGCTTCTGCAGCTCGGAGCCCGTGAGGAACGCTGCGCTGCAGTCGTCGCACCTGTAGGGCAGCGCGCTGGCGTGGCGACACCGCATGTGCGCCTTGAGGTTGGAGCTGGACGTGCTGCGGTACTCGCAGTGGGCGCAAGCGTAGGGCTTCTCGCCCGTGTGGATGCGCACGTGCTTCTTGAGCTCCGACGGGTGGCGGAAGCGCTTCCCGCACTCGGGGCAGCAGTGCGGGAAGCTCTTGCTGTGCACGGCCTGCAGGTGGTGGCTCAGGAGCGACGGCTCGGCCGTCTCGTAGTCGCAGAAGCGACACTTGTTCATCTTGGCGCCCTTGGTCTTGTGTGTCAGCTTGTGGTTGGTGAGCGCGACGGGCTGCGAGAACTGCTTGCCACACTCGTCGCACTCATACGGCCGGTCCTTGGGGTGGCCCAGGCGGTGGCCCTCGAGGTGGGTGTGCAGGTTGGCCTTCTTGTTGGTGGTGTAGTCGCAGTCGGTGCACTGGTACTTCTTCCGCCCCAGGTGATCCTCGGGATGGTTTAGCATGTGTTTCTTCAGGAATCCCTTTGTCTTGAACTTCTTCCCGCACACAAAGCAAGGGTGCACTCGGATCTTTTCCCCATTCGGGCCTACGATAATACCTGTTAAGAGACACAAACAGAACACATTCTGAAGCATTGTTGTACGTGGGCCCGTTAACACGCGTAGTCACTTCATTACGTATCGTCGGACGTATTAACGCATTCGCTTGAGCACATTAAAGTTGGTAGTTATGGATGAAACAATAAATAAAAAGCATCCGTTCTGAGCTAATTGGAAATAGTCTGACACGGTCTCTGTTATATAACAGGTACCCGTCATACATCGGACTGGGAGCTCTGCCCGAGTTTGGCAATTTGAAGAAAATTGGAAGAGACTCCCCATGATAACAGCTCGGATGTGTTTCTCAACACCCATCAATCTCTTCCTGCCAATTGGCCGGGAATATATCCACTCCCAAGCGAGCTACGTGGCTGGCGCACGGTGGCCACCACCATCATCATACCACCTCGAGCGTGGCCCACTGGGTCTCTCCTCGCCTCTCGTTTAGCGCTGTCCCCCTCTTCCATGCGCTCTCGATTATAAACAACGCCCAGGCCGTTACGTCACACACGCGGCGCGTTATGGAGAGCTCGCGACCACAGGCGAGAATTCAACTTGCAAAGTGGCCGCCACCGCCACGCAGCATTCGCTCGCTCTCACAGAGAGAGGAGAGGGAAAAGGACGGCTCAGAGGCGCCAGGAGGAGGAACCGCAGACGAGTTGGAAAGCAGCAGCAGCCACGCGGTGAGGAGCCCAGCGCTACCAAAAATTGTCCAATCTCTGCGGTCCGCATTATATTGAGGTGTCATCGGCCAATTAATTATGATTTATTTGACCAAGTTAGGCCCACTGAGCTATATTGCTCTTTTTCAGAAGCGACCTGGCCACAAATGATAGCTCAACATAGTGGCTTATCGTGTGGAAATTCATTGTAGCCAAATACTCTAAACGCACGTTGAGTCTAAATTTGGAGAGAAAAACCAGAGGACCTGGATAGAAATCCACACCACCAAGGGGAGAGAGACATGCAAACTCCACATATACAGACATCAGGCTCCGGATCAAACCCATGACCTCCTGTATACCAGGCAGTCCACACTTTGCTGTATTGCACAATTATTAGGTTTCAAATAAAGTAGTCGTTTAGGAATATTAACTTCACACTCACTAATGATGTGCTGAACTGTGGTAGACACGATCGGACTGCGTCACAGCACAGACACTCACTCATAGTGTGCTGCATCCGAGTGGCGACGTTCTTCTTTCGGCTTTGCCTGCGATGGTCGGTTTTGTTTGTGGGAGTCAAGATCACTTCATCGGCCTTGCTCGACAGGCTCAGCACGCCGTTGCTGTCCACTGCATCCACGCCGCCTTCTGCTGAAGAAGCAATTCACACGTTTGTACATTTTACGGCAATAATCTAACATCTTTCCCCCTTGACAAGTTCACGCAAATTAGCCAGTTCATTCACCAATCGAGACGCTTCGGCGACATCAAGGGGAATCACGATTTACCACAGGGTCCAAAACAGCCCATTGATGTGTTCGCAAAATAAAGATATTCATTAATATGTTAAAATAGTTTCGCACTCAGGACAATGTTATTGTTTTTTTTTACACCTGCAAAAGTGCAAACTCTGTCACCTGCATCTTTACTCTTTGGTTATTTCGGTAAAGTCACGTAGATGAAAAATAAAAAATAAAAAATAAAATAACTCAATTAAATCACGACGTTTCGGAGGCAACACCTGATGACGGAAGCTTGTGTTGCCTCCGAAACGTCGTGATTTAATTTAGTTATTTTCATTTTATTATTTTTATTTTTCATCTACGTGACTTTACCGAAAGAACCAAAGAGTATGGATCCTTGTGGTCACGGAAACTTCAAATCTAGAATCACCTGCATCTTGTTGATATAATTCGCATAAGGTTAAGGCACAGCCCAGGAATGGCACGCTCATGCCACTGCTCGTGGAAGAGGCCTCCACTAGAGCAGGGGTCGGCAACCAAAATAACAAGAAGAGCCATTATTTTAGAATTCAGTAACAAACTAAATATTTCAAGAGCCGCCATGTAATGTGAACACGAGACGGTGGGTCCTTAAAGAATAACGTCACGGAGCAGTTCTTAAAGAGCCGCACGTGATTCGGGAGCCGCAGGTTGCCAACCCCTGCACTGAGAGGGTGTTTTGACCGAATCTTCCAAGCTAGCCAAACAATGTGCCAAACTTTCCCTGGTTAAGTCTGTTCATGTCAAGACATTGGGCCATCATACACAACACTTCCACACACACACACGAATATGCCCAGCTATGGTGATGCAAATTTAAAATGTTGTATTTAAAGATAAGTGTGAAGAGGCCTTTTATCGCCGCGATATGCTCCGACGTCCTAACGCCATACCATATGCGGACGTCCAGGACACGGGCAGGATCTCCTCGTTGAGGGCCATTTCCTCCACTCGGGGCTCCGACTCCAGCGTGACCGCCTCATCATCACCAACAATCACCTCCATGTACACGTCGTCCGTCATGTCCGCACAGCCTGGTTGAGACATTTCAAAGATCGGCAAAAACAGCCTTTACCAGACTGTTGGGGTAAGTGCTGTTCGTGAGCATCTATGAAGGCCGGCATGGCACATTAGGGGGCGGGTGGCCAGCACCACGCCCGGCCGTCTTTGTTTCCTTAGTGGCGATGTTTACACACTGCACCAGGTACTCATTTGAGGCAGAGTCGACCTAGGCAAGGCCCAGGAATAGGTTCAGATAATAGTCATTGCGGTTGGCCGTGAGCGGTAATTGAACTCAGGTCTCCGGGGTCGTAGCTCAACACACTGAACGTGACACTACCGCTCCCCACATTAAGCACGCACACACATAATCATGAACACATTCTTACAATAACACACAGGGTTTCGCAGTCAACGTCCTACCTAAGCACCGTTAGCTACGCATGATGAGAAAGAAGTTCAACACAGCTACATAAAACCAGCGCTAAATACGGCTGTGAGAACTCTTCTTCAAATTACTGATAAGATTAAATAATAATTGACAAGTTAAACCTTTGTACACGTGACTATTTTATTTGCCGAGGGAATGGCCCTCATTATTAGCTTTTTTACGCAGCAAAGACTTACTTAGACTCAAGAGTATTTTTTCAGGAGGGTCCTACCAAGCGTTCGCAGTCGTGGGAAATGTTGTTGCTGCTGCTGCGTGTGACCCCAATTGAGACATTTTCAGGCATTTTTTCAGCATTGGGATGTTTGGCCAGTACCAGTCATATGGTATGTGTGATTTCTTTTTTAGCTATGTGAGGAAACTGGAGACCCTGGAGGAAATCCATAGAGAACAGGGAGAGAACATACACAACTCCACAAATATAAACTCACTTAATCTCACTCAATCACTCATTCTCTTAAACGCTCTCAACACTCTCTGCAGAACAGGGGAGAAAACACACAACCTCCACGCAGAAAGGCACCCCGAGTCGGCAATTGGACCCAGGTTCTTCTTGCTGTAAGGCATCATTGCTACAACTGCGCTGCCACGCTGCCGCCTATCTAATGACACGAGTTTCGTCAGATCATTACGTGGACGAGTTCCCCCAAAATAATACATTATTAATCGCATTCAGACAAATTAACGCACTCATTTTTTCCAAACGATCCACCAACCCTTGCCTCCAAATCGCCGGCTTGCGTGTGATGCGCTCTTACCGGGCGGTCCATTAAGTGTGACATCGCACGGGCGTGTAACTTACTGATCTCCTGCACTTGATCCTGCGGACCATCCATTGCCATGTACACGAGCTCTTCCTGTGGAACTGTGGTGATGCTCGTGGAATCCAGCACTGCCACATCTTCCTGCTTGATATGCACATGCGAAGGGTCGATGGCCACACCAGACGCTGCCCCTGCGTCATGCGCACAATCCGCCACGCGATCCACAGAATCGTTACACTTTCACAAAATTGGACGTAAAATCCCCGCCACCACCCTCTGCCCGTATGAAATCGTGACGTCCGTTGCGGACACGCGCCTCGACTCCTCTGTCGGCCGAAAAGGTCCCTCGTGTCACCCGATGGCACGCGGGACGTGAGGAAAAACAGCGGCGTCCCAGTCGAGAGCATCGCCTAAGGCCCGACGGAGGAACGGCCGCTGTCTCTCTCTGCTGCCCCAATGGCAGTGGGGACCGCTCTCAACCGCGACCCAACAATAACACGACACGGAGGATGAAGGTGTGGTGATATTTTATCCACAAGTGGAACGATCGGGGACTCCCCTCCACCAAACTGCGAATGCGGTGAACTGAAAATCATAAGTCACACATCACTGATGACTCCAATACAACGTGCTGTATTTTGGTGAAACAAGTGAACTCCACTCAGTTACCCCAGATTCCATGGAACGGCTTAAAACATTACACGTACATTGTAGCCTGCTGCTTTTTTTCAAACGCCATACCAAAGATGTGCCAGGTAACTCTTTCAGGCCTCACTATGCACAGAGAGACAAATGTCCACTCAGTGTTTATATTATATGCATGCACATTCTTTGATACAAAGGCAATGATACAATTTAATTTAACATTAAACGTCAAAGAGTTTTAATGGATTTTGAATTCCATCACTGTGTACCGGGCAAAGTGTGCTCACGTTACAGAAATATGTATACAAAGGAAGTCAAGCTGATATCAAGTGCCGAAAAAGGATAAATATTATGCAATAATCGTTAGATAATTGTATTATTTTCTGTCTTCTCTAATGACTGTCTAATCAGACCTATCACAGCTCAGCCAACACACTTAACTTCAGTCAATCAAGCAAAGTGAAATGGTAACATATACACATCTTACTGAAAACTCCACGCGTTCGACAATAACACCGCATGGCCTAAAAGTTAGAACATACAATAGGCGACGTGTTCGGGCAATGCCCCTTCTTCATAGCAAACAAAAGACTTCGATTACATATTCGATTATGTGTGCAGAGCATTTATAGGCACAACGAGCACTATTTTTTAAATCCTTTATATTAAGTTCGCGTGCTTGCTTGCTTAGGACCGTGCAAATCTTTCGGTCGTTTTTTAACCCACTTCCCGTGATCCAATCGAGCTGACATTTTCCACACAGACTCGTTGTGCCAGACAATTATTGTTCGTGAAAAAAAATTCCCAAAATTTTACACTTTTTAGACAAAAAAAATTATTTTACATATATTCAAATAGAACGCATTCATGGCTTTGGCTGAACATCACAGTGCAAGAGCCCAGAGCGTAACCCCTCCACAGGCCGTGGTGGAGTAGCGCAGTTGGTAGCGCCCTCGCTTCCCATGCCAAAGGTCGCGGGATCGATCCCCGCGTCCTCCTCAGGCGAATATATTTTTAAATCCTTTATATTAAGTTCGCTTGCTTGCTTAGGACCGTGCAAATCTTTCGCTCGTTTTTTAACCCACTTCCCGTGATCCAATCGAGCTGACATTTTCCACACAGACTCGTTGTGTGTGACAATTAATTTTCGTGAAATTTTTTTCCCAAAATTTTACACTGTTTAGGGAAAACTAATTAAATATTTAATTACCAATTGCTTAATACTGGCAGACAATCATCTGACCCATAGATTGCAGCCATCTCAAGCCAGAGGACGAGAGAACTCTAGCCGCCACGCATATAAAGGATTTAGAGTGAAAAACTTTGTTTTTACGGGTTTACTTGTTTCCAATTGCAATTAGTGGTAGATTTATTTTTTTAGAGCAATGAATGCGGGACTAGGGCACGGAAGGGAGGTTGCATGCAAAGATGAGGTTATTTGATTGGTCTGCTGTTCGTACCGGAGTTGTATTGCCCATTTTCCGTCTTGAAGATGTAAACTTTGATAACATCAGAGCAAGTATTTCCATCTCTTTTGATGTCAATGTCCTTCAAATGGGATCCATCTATATCGCCTGTAGAAATGGAAATGTGGTGACACGGACAAAGTCCATTTAAAAGAGAAATAAACTGGACAGGTTCATCAATAACACTGTGTACATGTGTGGCATTATAAATAAATATATTACAGCCCATGCTTGGGGCACATAGAGTTGGCCAAATGAGATGGAGTGGATAAAAAGAGTTGTTATTCGTGCACAAATTCCAGCATGGCATCACCAAATAACTTGTTTCAACAGAGCAGCAATGTAACATTGAATAAGTCTACAAAGGTTCAAATAAAGGCTGAAAGCAGTCAACAAGGCAGATGTACTGGCCGATTAATGCTCACGTCTCTGTGGCAATGCTCACTTCTCTACGGAAACATTATTTCCGTACCTCCTTCCACCGACCCGTTTCTTCAACTTCAAATGTTTCGATTCTCATATACGCGTTCAAGTGACCGACTTCACCTGAAAGACCGGAGCCATCGGTGGAAATTCCACATTACCCTGATGGAGGCCAAACTCTCCATACAATGACCCAACGTTTGACCTCCCACAAAGTGGTAATTATTTTGTCCCAAAAGGGATGATAGGCCGAGTCAGGGTTTTTGTTTGCATTGTTTGTTGCATGTATGCTGAACTTCCTTCGCACAGTATGTAGCCAGTGCCGATGTGAAGATTTGAGGATCGAAAGGAATAGATAACGTGTCAGCGCGTGCATTCACTCACGCCAAGGGGGAAACGCTAACCCGTTAGAAAATTAGAGGAAATCTTGAGGTGGGAGAGGCAAGGGGGTTAATACTGGTAGGAACCTCCTGGTTACACCAGCCCTCAGGGGATTATTGTGTCCGTCCGTCGTGCATCAAAAAATGTGAGGGGTGGGGCTGGGTGGAGAGGGGAGGGTGGGGAGGGGCTGGGTGGGGAGGGTGGGGATGGGCTGGGTGGGGAGGGTGGGGCTGGGTGGGGGGTGGGAGGGGTGGGGCTGGGTGGGGAGGGGCTGGTCACCCCGTGGTGCCCTTATAAAACTCAACGTTGAACCTACTCACGCCGGCTTGTGCCCGCCCTCACAGTCGGGCATATTTGCGGAATACACCACGCTGCTGTTGACCCTGGCCATTGACCGAGCAACCCAACGTTCCTACCAGCTCCCTCCGCAGGGTTGTGTTAATGATGATTGAAACGGCATGACGGTGTCTAATTTTAAGAAAATTATTCTGGTGATGCTGCTGCGTTGGCAGCGGCACGAAAACCACAATTAATGAAACAATTCAACGTGTTCCGTGTCACTAAGAACGCTTTGTGTGTTTGCAGCCTTAAAAGGAAACATCTATAATGGGTGACATTATGGGCTATATAAAGAGCCATTGCCTGAAACATGGCCTATTATATAGTTTTTATTTCAAAGACACACGCACAGTGCTATTGTCCAACGCGCAGAGTTGTTGTTTTTGTTGTTGTTTACTGCGGACAGGGTGAGGTGCGGCTTACCCAATGGCTGATCTTGTTCCATTTCTACCAAAGTGGCGATCACATTCTCCTCTTGGAACTGCAGCTCGGTGTTGATGCTGTCCTGATCCATATTCATGGTTCAGTTCTACACCAACACCAGACACAACATGAGCATTAGCATTGTGAGAACTTTGCTCAGTTAAGAAATGTCGAATATATTTACATACACAGAATGCATTTTGTGTAGAATAACATTCATGTTTGTAATGTGAAATTTGTAAAAATGTGAAATTCCTCCTTAACATTTGGTCAAACATTTTTTTTCTTCTCTCAATTCTGTTTGTGATCTCAGTTTCATGTCAAGAGATAAAGCGATTTTTATTCAGAGCTGCAGAAGCGAGCGGTGTACCACCTCGTTGGCACGAGAACGACCCAAACAATAACATCACAAAATGACAGAGAAGAGGGGGGGTTAATAAATTATTTGCAGTTTGCCAAACGTCCACCGGAACTGGAATGGCTCTCGACCCTCTCCCATCAATCCCCCCGACACAAGCTTCACTCCCGTCGATTCATTCTCACAACCCTTGTTGCTGCTGCCGAGCGACACCACCACACGGCTCCACGGGAGTATAAACTAGTTTTATCGACCTTGCCTGCTGTTGATATTTTTTTCCCCAGGCGAGGCTGAAATAAAATTCAGCTGCGCCAGTGATACCCGGTTAAGTGGAGCCGCGCGGCGTGCTGCTGTATCGGGCTTGCGTTTTGTTCAAATAAAAACAAAAAATGCTAATTGTGCTGTACTGAAGCGGAAATAAAGTACAACAGCAATGAGGTGCAGCAGCGGTGTAGCTGTGCTAGAGCCCAATGTGGTGCACAACAGTGCAGCTGCAAAACAGTGCAGGCACAATAACATGAAATTCCCCACGCTTTATGTTTGCACATTTCAGAACACTGGCGACCCGCCACCAACACCCCCCCCCCCCCCCCCCAGACTTTCTGCACAGCCTGGATCCCTCGCCAGTCAATAATTGTTGTTGTTGATACACGCTTTTTATTAACTCACTCTTTATGTTGTTGTCGTTGCATCCTCAAATCTTGTAACTCAATTTTAACCCAGTTCCCGATGGGGTATCGACTGCAAACTTGGTATAGTTATGTCATACTGATGACAATACTATATTCTATCAAAAAAAATATTTGTAAACAATCTTTTTTCTATGTTACGTTTCGGCTTGGGTCTAATTGTCCACGCTCAACTGACGTTGGCTGTAAATCACCACGGTACCCTTACGTTATGGCAACCTTCGGGGCCACTTCCTGGAGTCGTGCGGTTCTTCAATTACCAGTAGGGTACATTTCATTAAAGAGTGTTTAACATTTTTTTTTTAATATTACTTATTTTGCTCTTGTTAGTTTGCAAATTCCCACCCTGCAATGTCCTGTAAATGCCACCAATGCCGATGGTCTTGGGCTGCGGTATTCTGTGTAACAGCGCTACTTAGCGCTACTTAGCTCAATGGGGTCTCACCAGCTGAATTAATAGAGCCCGAGTCTGAGAAAGAAATAGATGAAGTGTCAGCGACTAGCGATGGATGGTGTTAGCAGGAGGCTTAATAAACTTCAGTGGTTAGTACTGTCTACCAGGCGCAAGAAAGCCAGACTGAAACACATCGAAGGGAGAGCTTGGACTAAACTGAATAAGTTTAAATTTCGATTTAAAAGCTTTCGTGACTGCAGGGATTCATATTCTTGGTTCTTTCGGTAAAGTCACGTAGAAGATAAATAACAAAAAAAATACAACAATTAAATTCTCACGTTTCGATTGGTTTTCACACCTGATGATGATTGCTTGTGTTGCAATCGAAACGTCGTGAGAATTTCATAGTTTTATTTTTATTATTTTATTATTTCCCTTCTACGTGACTTTACCGAAAGAACCAAGAATATGAGCAGGTTTAGTCAACAACCGTCTCTCATGTTGGTGGAATGGACCATGGTAAAACAAAAAAAGTAATACAAAAAACACATGACTCGTGATACAGGGGAATACCGCTCTATGTATCGTACAGCCAATGACTGGAATGAGGAAGATTTTCCAAACAACACCAACATTTTAGTGAATTTTTTTTTTATGTGATATAGAATAAGTTTGACCGGTGATAACCTTTGGTTTTTTCAAGTGAAACATTTTGTAATATTTCTATAGTTTTTTTTACCACTGGACAAAGGTCCGGTGATAATGGTCCAGTACAGACGGAATCCATAAACTAAACTTTTCAGTCTCTTCCCCATTATTTGAATCAATAACAATGTTTCTGAGCTATAAGTCATAGCAGGCAGTACACACTGAACACAGCGACTGGAGAGCATTTGCAGGTGAATACAATCATTCTAAATATTAAGAAAGGTAATTGGGATTGAGCAGAACACGTCTCTATGTGGGATGATGGCCGATAGCCAAAAAAACAACAGATTTGCAGCCAAGCAATAACGGTTAGGTGCCTGACAGTACATCCACCCGCGGAGATGGAGCGACACAATCAGATTGTGTGCAGGTACTAGGTGGATTATTAAATCGTACGATTTGCGAATGGTGGCGGCTTGGGGAGACCTTCATCCAGCAGTGGATTGATTTTGGCTGATGCAATAATGTGCAACAGCTGCATTAAAGTGCAGTTGAATAGGAGTCTATCCCTCGCTCCTGCAGGAATGTATATTCCTATTATTCTTGTGAACGACAAACTAGAACAGCATTAGCAACAACTGCAGTGGCAAGGTTAAGTAAGTACCTTGTTGCCCGGCCTGTGCCAATCCATTAATCAGAATCTTTTTTTTATCCTGAAAAAATCCGATGAGCTATGAACATCTTTTTCACAGATTTTCAGTTGGGGCAGGTCAAAAAGTTCCAACAAAATGTTCAAAAACCGATAGGAGTGCTATATCATTGGAAAGGTAAGCAAATCACTAAATATAATTAAATTATAACGAAATAAACAATTGTATTTTACGCGCTAAAGCCCACTGAGCTATCAGTTCTGTTTCAGAAGCCAACTGGACACAACTGAAAGCTCAAAGAAGTGGCTTATCATATGGAAATGTATAGCAGCCAAAGACATGTTTGTAAATATTGACAAAAAAACGGAGGATCCGGAGAAAAAAAATGTAAGCACGCGAGTTAAGTTGTTTCCAAGAATGTAAAACCAACACAAAGGATGGCTCCGTAAACAACGTCCAAGACATCTGCTGGTTCGTACCGTCACGTTTTAAAATGTTTCTCTTGTGCAAGAATAAACTTACTTTGTCTCTCGATTTAAAGCTTTCGTGACTGCAGGGATTCATATTCTTGGTTCTTTCGGTAAAGTCACGTAGAAGGGAAATAATAAAATAATAAAAATAAAACAATAAAATTCTCACGTTTCAATTGTTTCCTTTGCAAGCAATCATCAGGTGTGAAAACCACAGCAAGAACATTTTCTGGTGGTTTTCACACCTCATGATGATTGCTTGTGTTGCAATCGAAACGTCGTGAGAATTTTATTGTAACATTTTTATTATTTTATTATTTCCCTTCTGTGACTTTACCGAAAGAGCCAAGACTATTACTTTGTCTCGCTTAGTCCACGAGGCGGCGCCAGAGAGCGCGAAAGACGCACGACAACAGCACGTTGGACGTTGTCAGAATCAGAATATTATTTATACTGCCGGAATCCGATGAGATATTAAGTTTTTTTTCACAGACGTCCAGTATCTATGCTGACCTTCTTTCGCACCATACGTAGGCAACTGTGCTAATCGGAGGTACGGAGGAAGGACAACAAACTAGACACAAAAAGGTAAAGCATATTTTGTTTGACCAGGTGAGAAATCAAGAGGCGAAGATAGTCTCTCATTTGTAAGAGTGACCTGGGTAGTGAGTGAGTGACTGGGTAGTGAAACACCGAGGCTGCAGTGTGAATTTCACTCGGCCACGGCACGCCGCATCACTACAAGTGAACTCGAGTAACAACGCCATTGCAAAGGTGATGGAAGTTCCAAGTTTATTTTTTTGTTTAACTGGGTGAGAACTCACGAAGCTCAGACGGACTCTCATTCGAAAGTGACGAGCTGCTCGGCGCGTGGGCGAGACTCACCACGGAGTGGCAGCCAAAGCGGGGAATGCACTCGTTCTTAAACTAAACTAAACATTAAATCTTGATTTAAAGCTTTCGTGACTGCAGGGATTCATATTCTTGGTTCTTTCGGTAAAGTCACGTAGAAGGGAAAAAATAAAATAATATTAATATAAAACAATAATTTTTTTATAATAATATTATATTAATGTTTTATATGAATACTATTTTATTATTTCCCTTCTACGTGACTTTACCGAAAGAACCAAGAATATAAACTATACTTTTTTTTTTATTTTACCAGCTAAGGCTCACTGAGCTCTGTAGCTCTTTTCTCAGAAGCGACCTGGCTATCACAAATGATAGCTCTTCGAAGCGGCTTAATCTCACGTGGACATGTATAGCAGCCAAATACTCTAAACATGTGATGTTGATTCTAAACGTGGATGGAAAAACTGGACGACTCCAAGGAAAATTCACGAGAACACGAGTAGTACATGCAAACTACAAATAAACAGGCGTCAGGGTCGGGATAGAACCCACGACCTCCTGCATACCCCGGTGATGGCGTTAGCATCTCGCCACTGAATGAATCACGAGTTTGAATCACGACAATTCATTGGAGCCGCAGGGAGGTGAATCGTTACAGACCCCTACTAGAGGCAGGCCATTAAAGGAACGTGCAACTCAAACCAAAACTATCGTTTATTTAGTAAACACACCGACACTGTACGCCATTATCTGCAGCATGCGCATGTAAAGGATCGTTGCTGAGAAAGTTGCGCTTTTGTGAGCGAGATCCAGAGGCAGTAATAGAAAACGAGCTCCTCAAGATGTCCCCAGCAGGGACTCGAAATCACCCGTCCGAGTGAATCTATGAACTGTCATGGTTTGGGGTCAAGTTTACAAAAAACTGAATCGATAAACAATTTTTTATTTTACCAGTTAAGGACCACGGAGCTATATAGCTATTTTTCAAAAGCAACCTGGCTACAAATGGTAGCTCAATGAAGTGGCTAATTACGTGGAAATT